CTTGTACTGGCCAGATCTTTATAGGCTCATGCCCTATAGAAAAAATCTAATAAACAGAGAAACAGTTCAAGAGTTTAACAAGTATAGGTATCAAGACTTGATCGATAATCCTCATATCACTGCTTAGTTTTTCAAAAAGCACTTCAAACTTTTACTAGAAAATGTTTTGATCCTAAGTTTAATTTAGAGGACTGGTGGTATAGGTTTAAGTGATAGTACCGCAGTAGCATATATATATATAATATTGGGAAAATAAAAGATATACCTAAATTTGAATAGGAGATGATGAAAGAGAATAAAGAAGCAATAGCTATAATAGTTCAGGATTTTGACTTATTAGTTACTATGATTAATCTAGGGCTCAATTCACTAGTTCCTGAGTAATATTCTTGTCAAAAAAGCCACAATGAATTACATAATGATCTGCAAGACTATATTGAACTTATTAATAGCTACAATACCATACCTGTTGTAGCTCTTCATACTGTCTTTGTGTAAGTAAAGAAGATCAACAGCAATGTCAGTTTGGATATTCTAAAGATAACATAGATCATACCTTTATATGAAATATTAATGGCCAATCTGAACTCATTATAGCACAAAATGATTCTTATATTAATTCGCATAATTAACTTTAGCTTCAAAGGTGGTATGCAAATATTGATTTGAAAACTATTTTAAATATTAATGCTGCTCTACAATACATCATCAAATATGTGAGTAAATCTGAACCATGTTTTAAACCTTTTTCAGAAATATTAAATAAAATACTCTGTAAAAATAATCCTTCTGATTCTTTTCTTGGCGCTTTTCAATGATTATTGCTCCATACTATTGCAGAGCATGACATATCTGCACAGGAAATATGCTATATTCTTCTTGGTATTTCATTGTACTATTCAAGCTGTCGCTATATTACTTTAAATCTCAATAAGGAAATATCTAGATTGCTTTTTGGAACTAGAAATATAAATTATACAACACCAAGTGAAATTGGACAGATCAGACAATCTTCTCTGCAAAAATACTGGAACTGACCTGCTGAATTTGAAGATATCTCACTCTTTCAACTCTATCTGGGATATAATTACTGTAATAGTAATTGGAAAAAATGTAATCATGAAAATATTGTGTATATTTGGCCAAGTCTATCGTCTCAACGTAACAGGTCTTAATAGAAAGAGTTCTGTCATGTAAAGATTCTACTTTACATTTGCCATAGAAGCCTTAAGCAACTAACTAGAAATAATACCATTTCTTGATTAAAACTCTTTAATTGACATTTTGCTGGAATAGAAGATGAACTTAATGATTTACTTGATCCATCTGTTGATAACATACCAGAATATTTTAATGAGGATGAATATCTAGAAACAGATGAAGAAAAAGAACTTGAGGAAGTGATGCTGTCTAACTGGATGATTCTATTAGGAATAAGACTAAATACAACTTTGACTGTTCTTTTGGCCTAGGCTTAAGTGATACAGATCAAAATCATGACTAGTTTCAAGATATTAGACTACATCATCCGATCTTAGCCTCAATGATATAAAAACATTTGTGCAACAATTTTGTAATAAAGAAATTAATAATATTGAAATTTTATATAGTAAAACTATAGATTATCAAATCTTGAACAAAAAGCAGATGAAGATACTTAAATGAATCAAGTTGTACTACAATATTATTATTACAGATAATCAAATTGAACCACTTAGAATTATTGTTATAGGAACAGCAAGAACTGTCAAGTCTTATCTAATTAATGCAATTCATCAATGGCTTCATAAAATATCAAGAAATAATGGCAGTAAAAACTCACCCGTAATTGTGCTCACACCAACTGGAGTTGCTGCATTCAATATTTGTAAGACAATGATTTATTCCACACTCTTCCTTCCAGTTAGTGGCACTAACTTTGATTTAAATAGTGAGTATCTAAAGCAACTACAAAAATAATTACATAGCGTGAGCTATATTATAATTGATGAAAAAAGTATGGTTGAGTGCCACATGCTTGCTTTAATTAACATGCAGTTGCATCAAGCCTTTCCTGCGTATAAAATCAACCATTTGGTGGATGATCGATTATTCTATTCAGTGATTTTGGCTAACTTCCACTAGTGCTTGATCAATCTATATATACACAAAACCTTAGTCTCAATCTATTATCAAATAATAGTATTGTGGCATACAAGCAGTTTCGGGAAGTCTACTGCTTAATATTATTCAGTGATACT